GCAGCCACGGCTCTCTGCACGGGCTGACTCCCATGACTTATTGCCAGGTCCCAACACTTGTGGCGGTACAGCCTTTTTGTTTTTTGTTTTTCCTTGAAAGAGGCCTCAAGAAATAAGGGAGAGTTGTTATCTTTAGAAGGAAGAGTTTGACTTTAAGTCTTTTAGAAGCTTCAATCACTCCTCATTTTGGAAGTCCCTCCTGTATCATAGCAAATATAATAGTGTGCACCCACACCCCTCATCAATATTATACCTGCACATAACTTTGTGAGTCAAATGTATTTGAATAGTAGTTGAAATGAGTTGACCTAATGTTGTGTTTTGAAGACATTAAGTAAATATTGATCCATTTCTAACTTGCAACTTTCTTTCATGGTTTTAAAGTAACAATTTTTTTTCAGGTCTTAATTATTTCCATAGTCTCCTATAAACTCATAGACCCTGTCGCCTCTTATGCCACTGGAAGCTGTCTACACAGAAAGAGATTGGGTCCGCCCTCCGTGTCCATGTATCTATAATTTTTGCATTTGCAAATTTATGAATTTTTTATTTTAAAAATAAGCACATGAAAAGATACTCATTTTCACTAATTATCAGGGAAATGGAAATCAAAAACACCCTCATGCCTGTTACAGTGACTACTACCAAAAAAAACCAAACAAACAGATAAAGCAACTATGAATTTCCATACCAAAAAAAAAAAAAGGAAATAAGTATTGGTGAGAACGTGGAATAATTGAAACCCATGTGTTCCGTTAGTAAGAATGTAAAATGGTATAGCTGCCATGGGAAACAATATGGCCATTCCTCAACAAATTAAAAGCAGAATTACTATATAGTCTAGCAATTCCACTTCCAGTTATATACTCAAGAGAATCAAAAACAGTGTCTCAAAGACACATTTGTACACTTATGTTCATAGCAACATTATTCACAGTAGATAAAACATGGAAGCAACCCGAGTGTCCATTGACAGATGAATGTATAAGCAAAGTGTGGTCTATCCATACAATTGGAATATTATTTAGCCTTAAAAAGTAAGAAAATTCTGGCAAATGCTACAACATGGATAAACCTTGCAGAGAGTATGCTAGGTAAAATCAGTCAGCCACAAATAGACAAATCCTGTGTGATTCCACTGATGCGAGGTACTTAGAGGAGTCAAAATCAGAAACACAAAATAGAATGCTGGTTTCCAGGGATGGTAGAGAGGAAATGGGCATCACTGATAGGTATAGAGTTTCAGTTTCACAAGATAAGGCGAGTTCTGGAGATGGACAGTAGTGAGAGTTGTATAACATTGCCAGTGTATTTGTTACCACCGTACTATACGCTTAGAAGCAGTTACAGAGGTACATTTTATGTTATGTACACTTTACCACAAAAAAACAATTTAGGGACAAAATTTAACCAGTTATATCAAGGAAATTACATGGGATTTTTTTGTTTCTTTTTTAAAATGTCCATTTTTTTAAAAAAAAAAAAAAAGGAAAGAAAAAGAATTTGTATTGAAAAACATGTAAAAGAGAAGAATCCTCCTAATGAGTTAGCCGTTCCTTCTTGGGGTCCTTCAGTGGGTGAGACGATGGAAAGCACCCACTGGACACCAGTCATGAGGCTGCTGTGAAGAACTGCTCTTGCTCCCCCACGTTACCCACGTGGTCAGAGAGGACCTCCCCTACAAGCCAATTACATCAACTTTTCATCTTTCCCTTCAAGGGGTTTTGGTCTTAGTAGAACTTACAAGAAGAAGGCTGGTGAGATCACAATGCTTTTGGAGAAGAAAATTTTTGTACTGACATGTAAGATTGCACACAGTGTCTGAGAACTCAGTCTGCACAGCACAGGAATGATCCTACAGCATCAAGCTGTGCGCCCCACCGTGTGGTTGGGATGGGTTAGAGTCAGGTTAACACCCATGGAGGTGACCTTCACCTTGCTCTGTTGTCAAGCTATGGTAAGTCTAGCTCATTTTAGCATAAAACACCCTTTTTAAAAGGAGAAAACTCCTGACCAAGGATCTGATTTCCAAGGAGGTACAGAAATGAGACTAAAATGACATTTAATCAACATAAATGACATTTAAAACCTTCTCCGTATGACATAATGGGTACATATGTGGGTCTAGACTCTGAAGGACCAAGTTGGAATCCTGCACCTGTCACTGACTGGCTCTGGGACCTTTTGTAAATGATTTCACCTTGACCAGGTCTCGGTTTTCTTGGGTGTAGAATGGGCTTCATAATATCCCTCTCCTCATAAAGTTGTTGAGAGGATTAAATGAGATAATTAATGTACTGAAAATATTGAGCACAGTGCCTGGAACATAGTACATGCTTAATAAACGTCCATTGCAGAGGTTTCACCCGCCTCTCCCCTATGATCTCGCCCCCTGGGAAGTAGGTGTGACAAGTCTCCTATCAGAGAAGATGCAGAACACGCTGGTTAACTGGCTCACCCGCATCAAATACCTAGTGAACCTCAGAACTGGAATTCCTCCACCAGACTTCTGACTCCTAAGCTTGTGTTATTTTCCACCATGTCAGAGGTGGTAAACTAAACATCAGCCAATCATGCAACATTTATTTTAAAATGATTTCTACAACATTCTTGGCAGTACTCACCTTTTACTGCAATAAGAAAAGGGGTTCAGGATATTCCCCCTTTAGGCCATGGAATTTAGAGGGACTTCTTTTTGTTTTAGAATATTTAGGGTTCATGATGACATGAAGAAATTAATACAGAGATCTGTTGTTATTGTTTTTACTGGTAGAACCCAGTGAACATCTCTGGAAGTTAATTACTCCTAATGGAAAGGTGACAGTAACTCCATATTATTATTTCCTTGCTCTGGGCACTAGATGTCACACTAAGTAAAGTTTTAGAAGTCACTCTTCAAAGTAGGGTGTGGCAAAATGTCTAAACCTAGCTATGAAAAAATTACAGCTTTTACATAAAAATAAAGCTCAACTTTGTATTTCTAGTAGAATGCAGTAAAGATGTACTTGTACTAACAAAATTTCTAAAAATAATGGCGAATCAGAAAATAGAGTAGCAGCCCATTTCCATGTCTGTTTTTAGGCACATTCCACTTAGATGCACATGTAAACGGTATTTCCTTCCAGAGACAAAGTGATTGTTTCAAGAGGCAGCTATGCACACATATCTGCGATCATGTGTGTCCAGAGATGAAAAAGGTACCCTTCCCTGGAGAAAGAACCAGATATGACCCTAACTTGCAAGAGGAGGAGAAGGGCAAAGAGAAGATGAGGGATATGAGGTTAATTAAACCTGAAATGGTCTCAGGGACAGATGTGCCATTACCTTTCTTGCTTGACTTAAGCAGAGAAGATGGGAGCAGATGGCCAACCTCCTCCAACTCGATTATTCCTTGATTGTGATTCTCAGAAATCTAGATGAGAATCGTGGGTTGAGATTTGGATGTACATTCTCCTTTTGGAAAATATATGTGTTTTTTTTTTAAATGTTAAGGAATGTGGACTCGGTATGTAAATGAATTAGATTAAGTAATATCCTATAACTTGAATGTTACCGAAACTTCAAAAAGTTTCCATTGAAATGCTTGGAATTCATAGATAGGAAGCTTAGAATTAAGTCAGGTTTAGCAGTTTATTTTTTCAAGTAACTCAATAATGAGTTTGAACTCTGTCTAATGATCTGCCTGTGAATATAGACACATTTTTTTTCTCTTTGTAATTAAAGTTACAAAGTTTCTTTAATAATTAAAATTATTAATTATTTAATAATAAATATAGAATTTATTCTATATAATATATAATGACAGGTGATTTCCACTGGATATGCTTGGAAAATATCAGTGCCTTCTTTGTGTTAAGATCACAGTTTATGAAAACTACTCATTGGGTTTGGGACTCATCTGTGTCATCCTCTTATCCAGGAAATGGACAAATCGTCATTTTAAGTGCTTTCTAGTTCTGAGTCATTCTGTTTTGCTCTTGAATTCTGCTGTCACTCGGGACTCCTTTCCCACTTATTAACATTGCTGCTGCCTTGTGTTTTAACAAGCTGAGGTCTCTGGAGAAATCCTTTATTTTCTCCCTGCATGTCAAGGGGGATGGTGAGCACTGGATGGGGACAGCCATGCTGTTTGTCCTTTAAGGACTTAAGCAACCAGTAGGACCATCAGTGGGCTGTTCATTCCTCAGGCTCGGGAACTCACCACAGCTCATGATGGGTCCTCAAGGGGGGAAATCACTCCAGAGCAAAATGGGGATAAGACCATCTATCAAGTCAAGGGTTGGAATTTGTTCAGTGTGGATTTGACAACCATCCTGTATCTCTGTATTCACCAGTGAGTTATTGAATCCTTGCTGCACTGGGATTTCAGAAATATAGGTATTGTCCCTGATCAGTAGAGTAAAACCCATGCCTTTCAGCCTGGTTCGGACCATTGCTACCTAAGACAAATTCTCAGAGCCACTTGATGGCCTATGTGGCTTTTCTATTTGGGGATGTCAGCTCAAGACCCTTTGCAGTGACACTTGGAAGGAGCATATTCAGGCTCAGCTGATTTCAGTTCAACCAATATTTAACACCCTCAATGTGTTGGGTCTGCAAGGAATCAAAAAATGAATGACATTTGTCTCCCATAAGGATAAGAGTAGCGCACTATTCATTGGCATTGTCTTGAGTTTGGAATCCCAGGGTGAGAAGCAAAGTCAGTAATGCGGCATCTAAGAGCACTACACATACACTATCTCATTTGCTTCTCCCAACAACCCACTGAGTAAACCTGAGTCACAGAGAGCTTCTCTGAGGTCACTCAAGCAGGCAGTGGGGAAGCTGAGCTCCTGTTGGAACCTACTTTGGAGGGATTCCAAAGCCTCTGCTGTGGGCCACTTTGTTGCAATCACGATGGATACCTACAAAACTTCAAACAGCTCTGTAAGATCAGCCAAAGGATTTTCAGACCACAGGAATCTAATGTGTGCACAAACCATATTTATATTTCCTGACAGGTCACGGCTTGACCGCAGTCAAAGAAAAAGCAGGGGCCACCCTTCGGATTCACAGTGTCAATTCTGGATCTTCCGAAGGGGTCCAACCTGAGACCGAAAATGGAGTCCCTGCAGGTACGTGACGTGTGACTCTGGGCATGGGGTGGAGGGCTTTGGACTTTGTTATATCATGTGCATGACTAGAAGCTCCCTAAATTCAGATCAGCAAGATGAACTCTAGCAGGATTTTATTTTTTCTCTTTAGTTGCAGACGTGGCCGCAGATCAGGACCCTGCAGGTAGCCCCCCAGCGTCCCCGGCGTCAGGTTCTCGGGGCATGCTGTCAGCCCTCACCAACGCGGTTCAAAGCACTGTGAGTCCTCAGCAGTTTCCTTCTCCCCGTGTCTCCCTTCTTTTGATATTTCCATTCACCAGTGACCTAGATACATCAGAGGAAAGATGGCCGTGCTCGTGACTTTGGATTATGATTTTGTTATGCTTCCTGCTGCAGAGTAGGTGTAACCTTGGATCCCAATAATAAGGGCAAAATGAAATACAGTTTTATGTTTGAAAGAAAGGAGCTGTTTAGAAGGTCCCTTTTTCAATCTGAATGAATAGTGTCCTTTCCTACTGCTGCAAGGACAGCCTCTGGTTGGAGGAGAAAGATGCTTTGAGAGCTGGGACAGATGTTTTTCCTGGGTGGTCTCTTGCTCTTGACCCTCAATTTTAAAAAAATCATAAAACCATTCAAAATTTTTTTTAAAAAAAGAACCACTTATTAACATTGCACTGCCTTATGTTTTAACAGTAATAGCCCAGATATATTTCTGAATGTTTCCAGACAAATCTGTGTCCCTCCTACTAAAGGAAGCTTATCATTGTCACCAAAACACTGATGCATGGTGAAAAGGGGGGACCCCACCTGACTAGAGGCCGCTAGCTGTCCTGAGGGTCAGGGAGAAAGATATTTTCAACAATCTAGAACCAACTAGCTAGTTTTTCTAGAAATATGGATCATGTCCCTTCGTTCATTCATTCACTCATTCATTTTGTAAAAGGGATGTATGCCCTTCACTGTGCACATGGAGCCCCCTCCACTGGACACTGGGCATGAGCTGACAAACAAGAAGGTGCTATCTCTTTCAGGGTGCAGCTCAACAGACAAATACAGTGTACTGTGAGAAGAAGAGGGAGCTAGAGACAAACATAGGAGGGTATCTTACCCAGACTTTGGGGTCAGGGCTCCCCAGAAATACAGAAAATCACTCCTCCTCTCCTTGCTCCTTGACCTCTACACTGGGCATGGTGAAAGAGGAACAGCAAGTATGTTTTGTCACTTAGCAATGCAAGTCACGTAGTCATGGGAAACGTTATGGGACTGGGGATGGTGGAGCTCTTTCAGCATCTGGTATCAGAAAGGAATTCATGGCCTCTCTGAGCCACCCTACAGGGCGCTCTGAGTGTGCCTCCAGCATCCCCAGCTCCCATTCTCTAACTTTCTTGACCCCTTTCCCCAAGCTCCAGACACCCCCAGCTTGCACTTACTCAATGTCCCTATGAATTGCCAACATCCTACCATCCTCCAAAGTGTGTGCATTTTTAAATCTCTTTTCCAGCATGGTTACTGATTAGCCCCCACATCTGAAAACAAAGTCTGACAATCCAAGATGGAAATGATTAATAAGGTATATTAATTCAGTGAAGTTGAACAATGCTATTCAAATAATTATGAAGATTGGAAAATGTACATTGATAATAATATTACAATAGATCATTTTCATGTAAATTGGGAAAAAATACAGATATGCACATTATAATTACAGTTATGCAGTGGGAGCGTACGTACAGAAGATGTGTCAAAAATGTATACAGTTCTGTGCACTTAAACAGTTTGTGTAAGTCTTCATTGTTTTAATGGTTTTAATGGAAAACAATAGCTGACAAAGGGATTTTCAGGGTGATAACTGTATAATAGAACAGTTTCTAAAGCCAGAAGCACATGCAAATCAACCTGTCTTATTTCATGAATCTATTAATTATAGGTGGGTCATGCTAGTTCCTGAAAGTATGCAAGAGCCATCTGACACAGCCCGAGGGTCCTATACTCCAGGGCCCTAAATTAAAGAATTCCCTAAAAAGTCAGGAGTATTTGACATTTTAATAAACTGCTCCAAAAGGGAAATAAAAAAAAAAACCTCTATTACTTGGGTTAATTTTTTTTTCAAACAAAAACAGCAATTAGGTCACCTGTTAATTTTAGATCTTAGATACATATCTATTCATATACACAGAGCAAATAAAATTAATCCCCAGTGTGCTTTGGTTTTTTTCTAAGCATCATTTTTTAATAACACTGCATGCCCTATGAATTATATAACATATAGTTTTTCGAGGAAAAGAAAATCGGATTAAATGGATGATAAATCTCCTGGTGAGAAAAAAATGTGGCTTTATATTGATTTTAATATTTGAAGATAGTGTCAGTTACCAAGGAGCTGCTGACTGCTGCAGAACAGCAAAATGTAAAAAATCTAATCTCATGCAATTATCTCATCTGCAGGGCAAAAGTGTCTTAACTGGAGGTCTCGATGCTTTGGAATTCATTGGCAAGAAAACCATGAATGTCCTTGCAGAAAGTGACCCAGGATTCAAGCGGACCAAGACACTCATGGAGAGAACTGTTTCCTTGTCCCAGGTTGGACTGTATTCTTTGACCATTTTTTCTTCCAGTCAATAGAGTAAATACACTTTTAAAATTTTTTTAATAGATCATGGAAAGCACATGTTTAAATTCAAATGGCACAAAAAGAGTTGAACAAAAATGGAGTTTCTGATATATCCATTTCCCTGTTGCTAAATTTCTCCAGGGGACGACCACTGTTGACAGTTTTTAGGCATACTGCCAATTATACAGGTACTGATTCACATAGATGAGTCTATGCATAATCATATAGATATATAAATACATATGTGGACAGATAGACATAGGCACATACATACACACATACTTTCTCAACCAAATGGTAAATACTAATCACACTCTTTTGTATTTTATTCACTCAATGATTTCTTGAAGCCTATCCCATTTATGCCACTGTATGTATCCCAGATCTACATACACTTGGTTTCATGACCTTGAATGGATTCCTTAGTCTCTCTGTGGCTCATTTTACTCATTTGTACTCTGGGATTAACATCATACTTACTGACAACATTTTTGTGAGGGTTGAATGAGTTACAGTAGAACCGATACCAACCTACGTGTATGTATATGTGTGTATATACAGCTATATGTATAAATTTTTTTCTCCTTAAGATAATGATGATGTAGGATGAAATGAGACTGAGTCCAGAAACTGGCTAACTCTGACTTCTTTGGTTGTGAAATGAGAACTGGACGAGGTTAGTTTCCCAGATCACCATAATTCTCCATTTTTGTCACAATTCTGATCATATCTGCATGCAATCTACCATTACAAAGTAGCACTGCTCATAGAACCGTGTCACCCAAGAACCACATTAGCCATCTGCAGGGCTTGTTGTAATTACATATGGCTGCACCATTGTGGCAGGTTTGGTTCAGAATATTCTGGAGGGCACCTGAGCATTGCACCTGCAATTTGTATGACTGCTTCAGTTGGGTCACTGTAACACTTTTACCCTCTGCTATTTAGACCCATCTCCATTTTTTTTTCCCCAGAGGAAAAAGCAGAACCAGCATCCCTCATTAAGGGAATTATCCTTTATGCAGCTTTAATTCCACTCCCCACTTGTGAGTGAATTCTGATCCACTTCACAGTGATGTTTTCCCTTTACCTTCCATTTCGTCTCTTCCTCCCTCTATCCCAAAGCACCCATTTAGAGATGGTAGTTGGTAGAGAAAGGAAGCAATCTCAGACGCACTCTGCTATTTTATGGTACCACCATCAAGCCCTGAGATCAGTGGGGGTCGTTGAGTTTTATTGCAGATATTAAAACTTTCCAGTGATGGTTTCATTGGGTTGTTTTTAAAACTTTAAAATTCAGAACCTGTACTGTTTTAGTCTTAAAGGTAGACAGGAGAGAGAATTCTTTCTGCAGAATTCTTTCATGGCTAACAGCCTCGGGAACCCAAAAGGAGAATGAGGCCGACTGTTTTATTGGCACACAGTAAACACCAGGCTCTGTTCTTAGATGATCTGCCCCCTGTGCCCTTCTGGTGTTGACCAGTATATTGATGGTGCTCTCCACAGATATTAAAGGGCCCCATAAACTTAATGCCCCAGTAAACTTAATGAGAAATCCAAAGATGCTTAAAATCAAAGAAGGCAAATGCAGAAAATTGGAAGTGACTGATAGACTTGTGTTCATTTTGCTGTCTTTTTATTTAAAAACAAATAAAATAACTGGAGAAAAGTTATTGACGTGCACAGAAATGCAAGTTCACAGTCTTATTTCTAAAGACTAGCTGAAGCATCTATAAGCCTATTTATATTTAGTATCTGGTGATGAACACATTACGAGTTTATAGTTATCAATTCTTTTTATTGAAGATGTCAAATAACTTCATACACAAAAGATTCAAAGTAATGTAAGTGAGAAAATCAGATCAGCTTATTTCTGCTTTGAAGTCTGCCTAGGTGCGGAATTCACAGTTAATCTTGTCACAAGAGATTAGACTTTCCCAGTGTGCTTAAAACTTGCTCAATATAGACAATTTGGGCATTTTAGAAAATAGAAAAGTTAACCACACATGTGGGAAACACCTCTGGACACCATTGTGAAGTCTTTGGTGAGCTTCTTTCCCATCTCATTCCCAGGCATAGAATTTTTGCTTTGCTTTGCACATAATGAACATATAAAGTCCAAAATAGAATATTATGTAAAAATTATCAATAGCATCCATCAAAAAATAATTTTTTAAAAATTCCAAAGTGATCAAAATCAACCCTTCCCAGAACCAAAATTCAGCCCTTCCCCACCCTACACCCGACGTGTCTTTTACAGGAAGTGGGGCTTTTCAGCATACATCTGGGTATAAGCGTTGTGTGTTTCTGCAGATGTTAAGGGAAGCCAAGGAGAAGGAGAAGCAGAGACTGGCGCAGCAGCTCACGGTGGAGAGAACCGCACACTATGGGATGCTCTTTGATGAGTATCAAGGTCTGTCACACCTGGAAGCCCTGGAAATTCTGTCCAATGAAAGTGAAAGCAAGGTACATCCCCACTGGTCATTTGAAATAACATGTTTTGTAGTGTGTTTCTTAAACATGAAGAAACTGGGAAATGCCAGTATCTCATCAGAGCCTCAGTATCGCAGTACTAAAGTTACAAATGCCGTACAGCCTGATGAGCCCCACAGACGCCATATAATTTCCTCTCTGTCCTGTGCCAAGCTATTGCCCCACACCAGCCCCAAGAGAGCCAGAACACAATAAGTCAGCACTACCCCTCCTTGTGGTGTGAAGGGCTGTCCTAGAACTTGGCTGTTAGGTCAGCCTCCTGGCCTGTGCCTCCCTTTGGTGACATCATACCCGGATCCAGGATCCCTTCAGCCTGCAACTTTCATTCCTCCCCAGTGTGAACAAAGCAGCTGAGGTTTGTTGTAGATTTCAGGGTTTTAATATATTTTGTTTTATGCATTACCTTTTATTGATTCAGCCACTTTGTTAGACTATCTGGGTCATAAAGGACAGAGTTATCCTACCAAGAATTAAAGGTCTATTTGGGAAACATGCAAAACCCTGGGAAACACTGCCTCCCTGAGGGTCCTGCACGTGCTCACTCCCCCATTATGGCCCAGGAAAACAAAACACAAATAGCAAACGATCAATGGGGTTTGTAGCTCTTCTTAAAGTAGTGTGTGTGTGTGTGTGTGTGTGTGTTTAGTAAGCTTTTACATAGCACTTACAAAGTCACCATTCTAAACACTAGAAAGCCATTCATTTACTTGTCCATGTGACTCTTTTGTGGAGACATCAGCCTGACTGCAGCCCTACTATAAAAACAGTGGAAGCCACAAGGCAGTACCCTCTGGCCCTCCTGTGAGGGAGGGGCTGTGGGCCATCTGACATTCACCAGGGAGAAGCAGGTCCCTGGACAAGAAGCTGAACTTGGAAGTGAGGTTCAGAATGGAAAATAATTTTGACTCTCTAGGCCTTGTCCTCTTGTCTTTAGATTTTACAAGTCTGAAACATTTTTTAATGAACTTTCTTGCCCATTCCCCCACCCCAGCCACCCCTGTGCTGGGGGTGGAACCCAGGGCCTCATGCATGCTGGACAAGCACTCTGCCACTGAGGTATATCCCCAGCCCTTGAGCCATTCTCGATGCCTGACTCATCAGGGAAAGACCACTTCTGCCACATAATGAACTACCAAGAACCAAACAGGATGGGGACACCCTCCCTGCCCTAGATTATAGGGCTGCATGTTACTATCTGTGTTTTTTTTCCTTTTTTTGTTATCCATGAGCTTCAGTGAAAGTTCAAGGATAAATCACAATTTTTCCACAAAAGGCAAAATCATAACTCTCACGCTGACAGAAAATAAATACACATTAAAAATTTTTTAGTTCATTAATTGAATGAGGAAACCGGGCAGATGTTATCACCCCTTCAAGGGAAAGCCAGAGAAGCCCAAATTTACATGGAGTAAAGGAATGTTGAAATGAATGTGCAGATAGACACAAACCTGGTTTCTCCACAGCAGGGGACATTGTCCCTCCACTGACAGAATTCATTAAGGAGTTTGTGGAGAAGAGTTGATTTGCATTGCCATCAGCTATCCACGATTTACACAGTTGTAAAATTGCTCCTGTAGATTCAGAATCTCATAATCTAGTAAAGTGTGATCTAAAAAATGCAATTTTTCATGGAAGCACAAAAATTTTCCCTGAAAAAGCAATGTCTAGAGTCAGACTTTATATTATTATAAATCACTCTGTAGCTGAATGATTTTGAATCCCCTTTGCCTCAATCTCCTTATCCATGAAATAGGAATAATAATAAAATCTACCTCATTGGATTATTAAAAGAATTTAATGAGATAATCCTATGAAGCTAGTAGCAGCACACTTAGTACATAATAAACACTTGAAAAAAATGCTAGCTGTATATGTATATGTTTATAATGTTAATGACATGTTATTTTATATGCATTCTTATGTTGTATATAATTGTTATTATTATTAATAAATATTACAGGGGGAGCACAGCCCTACTATAAAAACAAGCTATTGTACTGGTAGAGAGATTGCATTCTGGCTGCTTCCATCACAGGTCTCAGCTGTGAACAGCCCTGTCCCCTGGAAAAAGAGCCCTAAAGGACTTACATTGCTGGAAAGGAGGTTCAGGTTATGTAGGGCATGAGCCAGCTTTCCATCGCTAGAACAAATTCCTGAGATAACCAACTTACAGGGAAAGGCTTATTTCGGCTCATTGTTTCGGAGGCTCCAGCTCACAATTGGAGGTTGGCCATGTTGCTTTTAGACCTGTGGTGAGGCAGCACATCAAGGCAAAAGAGACAAAGAGGAAGAAGCCAGAATCCCAGTCCCCTTCAAGGGCAGTTTCTAATGACCTAAAGAGCTCCCACGAGGCCCCGCCTCTTAAAGGTTCACCACCTCCCAACAGCCCAAGATGGGGACCAGTCCTTTAACACATGAGCTTTGGGGGGCATTTCAGATCCAAACTGTAGCAAAGGTGTACACTTCTTCTGTTGCACACTTCTTTCACAAGCTCTGCTCTCTTTCCCCAGCTTAGAGTTTTTTTGGTTTTGGTTTTTTTGTTGTTGTTGTTGTTTTGTTTTTGTTTTGTTTTGTTTTGTTTTTTTCATATTAATAGTAAGGAATACAGAAGTTTTGGGTTTTACTTATTAATTCTCTTGCTTAGTAATAGTAGTTATTGGATGCTATAGTAAATGGTCCGAAAAATATATGAGTAAAAAGCAGTAGAAGTTACTTTTCACTCCAGTGTCAGGATAGGGATACCTGGACAACAAGCATCTTTCCTGCGCTTAGGGATTCAGAACTCAGGCTCAGTTCATCTTGTGGCTTGGCTAGACCCAGCCTAAAGTCCACAGGCCTCCAGCAAGAACACAAATACAGCAAATGAAAATACATGATGACTGTTTTTCAGAGATGTTCATAGCATGGTGATACTGGTGAATAATGATGTGTGTGTGTGTTTCAAGATTGCTAAGATAATAGACTTTGAATATTGTCAGCACAAAAATGGTAGGCCGGATGCAGTGGCGCATATCTGTAATACCAGCAGTTCGGGAAGCTGAGACAGGAGGATCCTGGGTTCAAAGCCAGCCTCAGCAACAGCAAGTTGCTAAGCAACTCACTTGAGACCCTGTCTCTAAATAAGATACAAAATAGGGCTGCGGATGTGGCTCAATGGTTGAATGTCCCTGAGTTCAATTCCCAGTACCCACCTTACAAAAAAAAGGTAACTATCTAAGGTGATGGATATGTGGATATAGTCATTAACCTCATAGAATCATCCTGCATATATCAAAACATCAAAACATTGTGTCCATAAACATGCAATTGTTTGTTATTTAAAACCAAATTAAATTAACTTTTTAAAATAAATAATAAAGCAGGTAGGGGCATAGATCAGTGGTAGAGTGCTTCTCCAGCATGCGCCAGGCCCTGGGTTGGATTCCCTAGCACTACAAAAGAAAAAAATAATAAATAGGGAAAAAAATAACACAGAGTGACTAGTTAAATTTTTTGCTTTTGATAAACAATGATTTTTTTTAGTATAAATATGTCATGTGAACTATTTGGGACACACTTAATACTTAAGAAAATATTTATTATTTATATGAAGTTTGAATTTGACTAAGCATCCTATGTTTTAATCTGGCAACCTTACATATGCCAAAGATTTAAAAGTTAAGGAACTTTTGAAACAAACTGTTAGAGAAAATAAATTCTGTCCTCCTCCCTCGACACCATGACCTGAAAGGCTGGGTTCTCATACAGAATTCTCAGACTCCTTGAATTTCCACACCACCCTCCAGCCTGCCCCTTGTATAGAAATAGAAGGAATTATTGTCATTAATATTTCACTAGACTTACTCTAGGACAGCCACAGGCATGACAATGTGATGTGTGATAAATGTTAAAAATGAATAATTTTTGGTGCCTTTATGCTCACTGTAAAAATAGTAAAAAATATATCTTCAAAATAGCACTACACATTTGTTCTCAAGGAAAAGCTGAGACACACAGTCTACTCTCAGGTCCTGGACAGAACTTAACACAGGGCCAAGCACACAGTCAGCAGTCCACGGGTATCTATTAAGGAGCACAGGGGTTTTTATTATTTATTGTTGGTCTGACCCAGAGATTCAATGCATATCACCATGGCGTGATGGAATGCACCAGGAGGGAAAAGCAGGAATATAGGAGCAGAAATGAAGGCTCTGAGGAGGTCAGGACAAGAAAGAGTGGCCAGGGATTGTCAAGCAAGGTGCATTTGCTTCTCCCTGATGAACTGTCGTGGGTACTTCCGGTGAGAGCCTCAGGCAGGTTGCATCGCTCATAAAGATATGCAATAGCCAGGTTCAGTGGTGCACGCCTGAAATCCCAGCAGTTCAAAACCAGCCTCAGCAATTTAGCAAGGCCCTAAGCAACTTAGTGAGACCTGTGTCAAAATAAAACATAAAAGGGGCTGGGGGTGTGGCTCAGTGGTTAAGTGCCTTTGTATTCATTCCCCAATACCAAAAGCAAAAACAAACAAACAGAAAAATGATGTACATTACCTTTTAGGAAAATTGAGTCCTGGCATCCTGGATGCCCTAATTCTCTCTCTTATCCTGATGTGCTAACCTAATTCCATGATGAATATTAAAACATTTCCAAAAGGGCCATAGCTCCTCTGCTGGTGCTTCCTCCAGAACAAGAATTTGACCTGCAGAATAAAAAAATTAAAACCTCACTACTTTACTTCAATTTTAATATAGTGTCCGTGCCCTTTGACCCTTTTGGAAATTGAAATCAACTGGAGGACTGCTGACTCTCTGCACATAGAATTTTTAAGCACATACAGAGGATGACTTCAGAAGAGGGTTCTGAAGACAGCGAGCAGGGGTGGCCCCAGTTCTAGCATCATGTGGGCTGTGCCGCCTCTTCCCTCCTAAAGGCAGAGCGACTGCTGTCTCCTTGGCCCCCACTGTGCCCTTCACTCACATCTGCCGTGGCCACTGCTGGTGGACCTGGGCCTCCGTCCTCTAGATTGCCAGGGAAGAAAACTGGGTCTGGTGCATTTTTGTAAACTCAGTATAATAGCTCCTGTCTAGAGGTGTACGTGTGGATATGGCACTTATTTGTCTACATATGTGTACATATATTCAGGTATACATAATTTATTGAGCACCACTGTAAGTATTTTAAGTACATTACTTCATTTAACCTCCAAACAACCTCTTCAAGTAGATAGAATTAGCCCTCATTTTACAGATAAGAAAGCTGAAGCCTAGAAAGGCTAAATAAATGACCCAAGGTCACATAATTTAGAAGTGAGCAGCTGATATCTGAACTCAGTCTTGAGGCCAAAGTGTGTTTTTAACCATATGAGAGAAGAGCTGGCGCCACTGTTTATTTAGCACCTACTATGTGCACTTGTGCAAAATACTTTATATTCATTATCTTATTTACCACACAAAGGATCACAATGAGGGCTAGGGTTGTGGCTCAGTGGTAGAGCGCTTGCCTAGCATATATGAGGCACTGGGTTTGATTCTCAACACCTCATTAAAAAAAAATAAAGATATTGTGTCCATCTACAACTAAAAATATTTTTTTTAAAAAAAGGATCACAATGAAGCATAGATCTTGTTTTACGGAATATGAGATCCAGGAAGCTTTTGTAACATGCCCAAAGTTGCAGGTAATGGGCAGTAAGGCCAACATTCTACCCAGGGTTACCGCCCATACCACAGATCACCTTGGGAAAACTGGGAACAGCTGTATGGAAATGTTATTAATGAGAAGGAAAGATGACAGTTATATTGACCTATTTCTTTTTTTTTTTTTTCAGGTTCAGTCATTTTTAGTATCACTGGATGGAGAGAAGCTGGAACTCTTAAAAAATGACCTGATTTCCATTAAAGACATCTTTGCAGCCAAAGAATTAGAGAGTGAAGAGAATCAAGAAGAACAAGGTAAAGGAAAACAAGTTAAATAGCAAAACAAACTAACGGTATAATCCTTAGGAGACTGCTCTTTATACACACAGCCCTTTGAACAGGGTGAATGATTTCATCCAAGTGCTCCTCCTCTGCTTCTGGAATTCACTGTGCATCTGCTCTGGCTATGGGAGCTGGTCACACTGATTTGTAATAGGAGCTCCTGTTCTTTCTCAGGTGTCCTGCACAATCCTGGCGCATCACAGGCACACAGTGAGTGATGTGGTTGAATGAACCAGAGTGCAGTGTGCTGGGCCCCGATGATTAGAGTTCATGTACTACCTTCTAATTCCACCTGCACATGGAAGTTGTCGAACGCGATTAATGCTGGTGGCGGGAAGTCTTGCTGTGGATTTCTTTGCATATTTTTCTTATTCCTTTTAATTTCTATGTTTAGGAGTTAGGGCGTATTTTTAGTTTCTACACTCCACCTAAAAATTATAGTTCTGGATTGGGGTTGTGGCTCAGTGGTAGAGCACTTGCCTAGTGTGTATGAGGCCCTGGGTTCAATCCCAGCACTGGGGGGGAAAAAGCATTTCCGACCAAGGCTGTACCATTTCCCCACAGTGTGCTAGGGCATGACGTGTCAGGTGGACAATCACTAGAGTGACCCAGGTGTGCACTTCCTGATCATCTTCCATCTAAATCATAACTTCACCCCCAAGGAGACCAGAACCTATATTATGAGAAGCAAGGCTTACTTAAGAGGAGAAAAGGTATTCTCTGCGTTGGACATGCTTGGGCTGGGGATGTAGCTAAGTGGTTGAGTGCTTGCCTAGAATGGGTTCAATCCTCAGTAGTTTAAAAAAATTTTTTAAAAAAGTTGGACATGCCTAATGAATGTTTTGGATTGTCCATTTGGAAGGAGAATAGAATAAAACATTTGCTTTGTACCTGGAGAGTGACTCCTTTCCATGTCATCACCTATGCTGGAAAGCAGAGCAGCCACAGACACAGGTGGCTTCTCCTGAGACTCTCTGTGTCATGTTCCTCCTGACTAAAACACTCCAGGTGAACTGGGCTGCACGAAATAATCACACAACTGACAGAGATATCTTTTTCTTTGGGTCCTGTGACGATTCCTCTGACCTTAAGGGTCCACAGAAAGAAAGAGAGAGCAAGTGCTGACCCCTTTTATTCAGGAGAAGCATTCAAATGAGGCAAGGGTCAAGTTTCAGGGGGTCGAATCTAGCCTCATGATGTCTGCTGTCAGCAGGTTGACTGACATCTAGGAAGGCCACGCCCAAAGGCAGAGCAAGAGAAGGGGAAACACAAAGGGGGCTTCTATGGAACATTCTATCCCAAACAGGGTAAAGGGGTAGGATTACAAAGGAATAGGTGAGTGTAGCTCAACCCCATGGATGACACGCCTACATCTGAAGACACACCCTCAACTTCCTGAACTGAGTGGCTCCCCACATATCTGAAAGGCCCAACTGGAAACATCTTTAAAATTGTCTTGCCATGTGGTCTTAGACAAGAGATATAACCTTTCTGAAGCTCAGTCTCTTCCCAGAAACATAAGGATCAAATTAGGTACTGTATATTCAAATGAGATGGTTTGGGAATAATGTTTTTCAGCATCTGTATATTTCTACAAAAGTCATCAAATAAGCTAGGCACAGTGGAGTACACCTGTAATCCCAGCATCTCAAGAGGCTAAGGTAGGAGGATCACCAGTTAAGGCCAGCCTCATCAACTTAGTGAAGCCCTGAGCAACTAGTGAGGCCCTGTCTCAAAAATGAAAAATAAAAAGGGATGTGGCTCAGTTGTAAAGTGCCCCTAGTTTCAATCCCCAGTACAAAAAAAAAAAAAGTTTTCAAATATGGCAGGCTTGTCTTTGTTCTTCTGATGAAGAAACCAAAACACTAGTTCTAACTGTGGACCCTAAATAAGCTAATAGATGCCCCTTCCCAGATTATCAGTCACCACAACCATCAATCTGTTCCTCTTCAAGTTCCACAACCTTGGTCCTGCTGCAGGTATCATTCAGAAAGAATCCAAAAGGACCCAAGTTCCCCCAACACCAAAGAGATATTGTTGCCAATACAAATGAAGGCAGTATTGCCTCCCTACTGGTGCCACTCCTTGGAGACGACACTTGATTGCATAGTGTTTAATAGAAAATGTTGCCGGGTGCGGTGGCACATACCTATAAATCCCAGTGGCTTCGGAGGCTAAGGCAGGAGGATCACAAGTTCAAAGCCAGCCTCAGAAACTTAGCAAGGCCCTAAGCAATTCAGTGAGACCCTGTCTCTAAAGAAAATAAAATTTAAAAAAGAAAAAAGAAGGGATGTGGCTCAGTGGTTAAGTGCCTCTGGGCTCAATCCCTGGTACCAAAAAAAAAAGAAAATGTTACTATGGGTGATGTGCTCCCTTTTTAATGTATAGCTTCAGTAAATTGAGATTTTTTTAGTTACACACACACACACACACACACACACACGGAAGTGCTAGACAGCATGCTTTCAAACATGGTAGATTTGTCTCTCCTAAAGGGATAAAACCCTATTATCTCCTGTAATATATCCATTTTTCCCAAAGGGCATCTCCAGATTATCAAAACACTATTAAATTTAATTAACTTAATTTAATAAATAAACGCCATTCAAACACTTAATGAAGCACTGGGAGAAAAGAACAGAGGCCTTGTCATTAAATCAGCCCAATTATGACAGTGTCACAACTCCAAGAAAGACTGTGGGGTTCCCCAAAAGCCTCAGAGAGGAATTTTATCAGTGGGGTGAGCAGAAAATCAGGGAGCAAAATTCTGGAAGCAACCAAAACATTTTCCTCATTTTTTTTCTTATAAACATACATATTCCTAAAAGCCTCTTAAAATAAATCATTTATTTGGGAGTCTCAGAAAGTGTAATAAAGTATCGTTTTTAGATTAATATCAGGCTCCTGCACATTTAATAATGTTAGCTAATGATTTGCGTGTTTGTCTTTCCAGCAGATGTAATTTCATCACACTGCCATGGGTCTCTAATTTAGTTTACCCTGGCTGTGAGGAGATTTTAAACGACCGTTTTCTATGTTTATTGCGTTAGGGAAGATCTTCTCGGCCATTTGTAGGGACCAAGAGTTTGCAATAATAGTCTTTCTTGCAATATATATTATCATATCTTTTTATCTACTTCCAGTTTTCTCTGTGATTTTTTTTCCATAAAATGCATGCTAAGATATTGGTGTGTATTTTATAAAATTAATGCACTTTCAAAAGCTGGAACTACCCAAAGTACTTGTGTTCTAATTTAGTGCCAATTCTTCCCAAATATGCTCAATCTCCCCATGTGTATATCTAGGTATCACCTACCGGTTTATTTACACAGAGTTTCCATGTCTACAAATCACTTCCACAGTCATTGTACTATTGGGTCTGAAAAGGAGACAGGTGGTTTTTACTAGCTTTGGGTTATACAGAGGGAAATGGAAGGAGAGAAAGTATTGTGTAGTCCCAGGCCACATAGCCACTAAGTATAGGAGCTGAGTGGAACCCACACTTGGTGAGTCCCCGTCCAGGGCTCTTTCTGCACTGCAGCATGGCCTTACACAGAACCAGAAGGACCAGGCAGCTTGGAGATGGCACCATGTCCTTGCTGCCCAGGTGTGCCTGCCCCACCCACCCTCTTATTTGTCTACCTGCAGAGGATGAGTCCAAGACCTCTGTCCGGTAGAGAGAATCTCAGCTTTTGATGGAATCAAATCTCATGGAATCATTTCTCATAGTTCAGGAGACTAGGAAGTCCAAAATGGGGGCGGGCGGGGGGTGGGCGGGTCTATGAGGACCCAGTCTCTGGGTCATAGACAGCGCCCTCTAGTGGCATCTTCACATGGTGGAGGAGGCCGGCCCGACCCTGGAGGTCTTTCACAAGGGCACTAATCTCATTCATGTGTTTCATGCTGATGATCTGATTACCTTCCCAAAGCCCCACCTTGTACCATCACTTTGGTATCAACATATGGATTTGTAGGGACACAAACATTCAGACCACAGCATCTCCTATTTAAAATTCCAAGCCCCAGCTACCCCCATTCCTTGCCTTTGGTTTATACTTCTCCATAAAACTTATCACTTGACATATATATGTTTTGCTTATGTTTTGTTTATTAACCTGTCTCCCTCATGAGACTCTATGAATTATAAGTAATAAAAACTGAACTAAGCCAAATGTTTTGAACAAAGACCCATGAGCTATCCTGGCTATCTTCATGAGCTGCAGACTAACCATTTGTCTATAAAACTAAAAATAGCACATCCAGACAGGTGCTGGGTACCGTATCCGTCACACTGCTGAGTTCTCCCTGAAGGTAGTGCCTTCACCCACGGGCAATAGTGGAGAGGCTTCTCAGTGGGTTTTCAGATTGTGTAGTCAGACCACATTCATGAGGCTATTTTTTCCCCCAAATAGGGAATAAATCCATTATGTAATCAATACATTCACACCTACCAGAAACGTTAAAAATGGCATTGCCTTATACATACAAATGAGAGAAATGAGATTGTAGCTTTTAAAGCTTTCTATTTCCCACTCATTTATTTTTATTTTATGATATATGATAATATATTGTCTATTATGTAATTCATTAATAAATCATTGAGTCAATAAATATTCATATTAGCACAGACTATGTTCCAGACACAGCGTTAGATGCTGTGGGTTTAGGAGTGAGCCAAATAAATCCTGGCTCTGTCCTTTGATAGTTTCCAGTCTGAAGAGAAAAATGGAAGACGGGCAGGTGTCCTAGGAAACCTGGGGAATTTTTCTCCAGAGAGATGGCGTTGCTACATCAGGTAGTGCACGCCCCATGGAGACTCAATTCAGTCTCCTAGCGTGGTGGCTCTGTGGACGTGGAAGGGCACTCTGGGGACCGCTAGGGTTGCAATGCGAAGCATAACCAGTCTGCACGTCAACAGGGCTGTCCCAGGTCTGCCAGGCCTGGCGGAGGTCAGTCATTTGTTCATTCAGTCTTTCTTTCAACAAATAGCTATTGATCACTTACAGCTGTGAACCAGACAGACACGGCCCCTCCCTACCCTCTTGTCTTCAGGCCAGCCCCGGGGGTGTCCCAATGCACCGCCAGCAACAAGGCCTCTGCAGCTGACTCGCTGCGGCTGCCAAGGGACCCCGTCGGCGTCTGCAGCAGCCGGAGGGCACACTGCCACGGCCCCCGCTCGGCCTACCCTGACTATAGCCTGGAAAGTCGAGGGAGCTGCCACATTCTGAAGGAAGAAACATAAATCACGCTTCTTAACTTCTGTCACGTTCTATTTCTAGGCTTAGAAGAAAAGGGAGAAGAATTTGCTAGCATGCTTACAGAGCTTCTCTTTGAATTACATGTCGCCGCCACTCCTGACAAACTCAATAAGGTCAGAACCTTCTGATTCTGAGTTTTGGGGGGTTCGAAAGGGGTGTGGGGGTGGGTCTCAGTTGTAAAATTCCAGAGAATTTTTCCATGAAATGGAAAAACCCCAAACCCCACAGGGCACAGTGGAGGGAAGGGAGTTTGAGGTCTGTAATTAAGAACTGGGGGGCTGGGGATGTGGCTCAGGAGGTAGCGCGCTCGCCTGGCATGCGTGCGCCCGGGTTCGATCCTCAGCACCACATACAAACGAGGATGTTGTGTGGCAACGTAATGAAGTGCTATGATAGAGAACATTCCAGACTATCAGGAGACAGTGTTGTAGTTGCAGCTTTATTAGTAATCACCTTGCAACCTTGAACAAGTCATTGACCCTCTCCTGGTGAAATAGAATGTTCTATCAGAGCGGTGTTTATCTTTAGGATGTAGAAAGGAAGAGGGAAACAGAATCACCCGGAGACTTTTTCAAATTCCACTCCCCCTACACCCAGCCTCTTAAAGAGACTTTCCAGAATTAGGCAGAGAGATGCCCTCAGCTAGGTAGACCACAGGTCTCCTCCCGTTGGGATGTTGCTACTGGTACTGGGAATCTAAGGTCACGCCCACCCTCCTGCCTGCTTCCAGAATAAGAGAAAAATGATATTGCTGAGAGCCACAGCTGAGTCGGAATGGCCCCTGGCATTTTGCCAATAGTATTGGTTGACAGGTGAGGCATTACTATCCACCTCAGCTGCTACTTTGGAGTTCTCTGGGGATTCCCGGGGATTCCCGGAGAGTTCCCATTGGTTGGGAAAGTGCAGGAGGAAGGATTTCCAGAGGAGATATTTCCGGTGGCTGGTTCCTGGAAGAGCTGTGTGGGGTTCGGGATAGTTCCCGGGGAGCGTGTGTGGAGTGTGCTGGTGGAGTTCAGAAATAAAGTTTGTTCCTGCTTCAGTGGCTTGTGATTTGTGCCCAGCCAGAGTGTGGCATGATATAAAAGGGGAGAATGAATTTAGTTGCATTTTGGCCAGAACTGGGAAGACTGCTTCCCCCATCTTACACAAATGTTTCAGTTCATGGGCAGGATCCTCCTAAGTGGGGAGCAAAATCCAAGAAACGTGCCTACTAGACGCAGCGGAGGAATCAGTTACAATCTGGTTCTCCTGATGCTGTGGGGAGGCAACTCGGCTTCCACTCTCAGCCTGAGATGATTACCTGTAGGTAGCTGGGATGGAGAAAGTACCTCAAAGAACAGGTGAGCAGGACAATGGCTGCGACTAGAAAAAAACAATTTGAGGCTTGACAGTTCCTAATTTTAAAGGGGCCTCTTACACTGCAACCTCACATCTAAGAATAGTCCAGCTGGAACAGTCTGGGTACCTCTAATAATACTTTGCAGGTTAGTACAAGGTTTTGCTGTAGAATTTCTTAAGAGGACACCAATCATTAATTACTAAAAGCTATGTGATATTCTCTCTCTCCTTTTTTCTTTTTTCTTAGCGAGCACTGCTTTACATAGGCATTCATTTATCAAGGTAGGCAAGGAAAGGGCAGAATGAGGTAGTGAGGTGGTGGTGAGATGAGTTATTTCTTTATCTCCCATGGGGGTCACTGCTTCTGGCAGGTCAGTGACTTGAACACAGTGGGAAATTGCCTCATCCATCTCCCTATGGCACCTGCTGCTGCTTGGAGGGAACCAGTGGTGGCTGCAAGGTTGCTCTGGTTTATTTACATAACAGAGTCAGCGTTAATCCCTAAGAGGACACAGCAAGGACAGTTATGGCTAACTTGCCATTCAATACTTTGCTAAATGTTGACATCCAAGCTTGAAAATCAGTCGTTTTAGCATAAACTGAGAAACAACCTTCGCTTAAGCAAACAGCTTCAACAATGATAAAATCTGGGCAAGTCTGCCCTAAGTTCAGGAATAACAGGGGAGATGATGTCTGCACCTTCAATTTAGCCATGATTTTTACAGCCACAGATAGTGACGGAAATTAAGCTGGTCACAGACAAGCACCAGGTCTTTCCAGCAGCGCCGCTTCTCCCCTTGGAGGTGGGAAGACCTGCTATGGATCAGGAGGAGCAGAGCCATCTTTCATCTGCCCAGCGTGACACATTATTAGGTTCATGAAACATTAAGAATTTCATGAAACATATCAGATCAGGACATTTACTTTAGCCCTGACTCTGGCTAAATTTCTAACCTATAGATGAAAAAGTACTGATAATCTTTTATTGTTGGTCATGAAAAGTGAAAAAAGTCTATAGATTTGTCAGTGTCATTGTCATTTTTATTCTTAATCTGAACTTCCTTTTAAAACGCTGGATAGATACAACCAAAGTGCATTAGATGCTTGTATGAAAATGTCACAGGGAAACCTGTTTATTTTGTACTATTAATATGTGCTAATAGCCAGGCTCAGTGGCATATGCCTTTAATCACAGCTCAGGAGGCTGACACAAGAGGATGGCAAGTTCGAGGCTAGCCTCAGCAACTTAGCAAGACCCTAAGCAACTTGGGGGGAACTTGTCTCTAAATAAATAAATAAATAAATGGCTGGGAACATGGCTCAGTAGTTAAGTGCCCCTGGATTCAGCTCCCAGTAGTTAAGTGCCCCTGGATTCAGCTCCCTCCCAAAAAATTGCTAATAATTACAATATCCAAAGCATTCTCAGGTCTTTCAATATTCTCTCCATATTTTCTATTCTGTTCCCCTTTCCAAAAAAAATTATATTTTTACCAATATCAGTAGTGTCTTTTAAAGAGGCTAAGGAATGGACCCACCGCTTTTAAAACATCTGAAATTTCCCCCCTTGAGGTTTAGAGCAATTTGGGGTTGGGATGGCTTAGTTTTCACTGTCGCACACTACACCTATTCTTTGGTTGGGCGCGTTGCAGGCCATGAAGAAAGCTCACGACTGGGTGGAAGAGGACCAAACCACGGTGTCAGTGGATGTGGCCAAAGAGTCAGAGGAGGAAACTAAAAAGGAAGAAAAAGAAGAGAAAGCTGAAGACCCTCAAGAAAGCAAAAAGGAAGAAAAAGGAACTAAGACTGTAGAGGTAAATTTATTCTCCATTGTTCACCCGCTGGGCGACCCTAATGTGTTACTTTTATTAGGAGCCTTTTTGTTTTCTGTGTTTTGGGGTAGTTTTTTTTTTGGGGGGGGAGGTTCCTGAGGATTGAACCCAGGGACTCTCTGCCACTAAACTGCACCCACCCCCCAGCCTTTTAAATTTTTTTTTATTTTGAGACAGGGTCTCACTAAGTGGCTGAGGCTGGCCTCAAACTTGCGAGATTCTTCTCTCTCAGCCTCCCACACAGCTGGGATTACAGGCGTTTGCCACTGTGCCTGGTTTAGCAGCCTAATTTTAAGTGAGGAGGGGCCGTTGTCTTATGATTTGTACCTTGTCTGACATTATAGAAATATGAGTAGGAATGTAATAAACACAAAAAAAATCCTCTCTGCCAAGACAGTTTGTTGCTTAGCGTGGAACTTGTAGCTTTTCTCCATTGCTTTGCAATTATAATTTAAAGGGGAAAAGACCTTTAAGAACATAATTGATTTATCTTTAGAGTAAATTTCCATCTCATGCAAATTTGTTACTATAAAACGTCTTTATGCTCCATAACTAATGAGGTAACTGAAGCTGTTTTTCAGAAACTTTCATTGCCATAGCCTTTGTTCCGTCGTTTAATAAATTTATGTGTGCATACTTGTCCTGCTCATGTTCGAAAAGGAGTTTGCAATAACTGCACCTTATGTTGAATTTTAATTTGAAAGAAAGTAGCTTTTCAAACTAGATCTCTCTAAGGAAAAATGGCAGCCAACGTCTGTCCATCTAGCCTCCCTTCCACACACCTTTTTAGCACCTGTCTGCTGGGTCCCAATATTGCTCATACTGTTGGGGACACAATTGTGAATAGGCTTGCCACATTCCCTGGGGACCTGGGAGCATTTCCATTTTATGGTAGCATTTCACTTAGAAAAGTTTTAGATGTACAACTTTTTCATGTTTTATTTGTTTTTTTTGCTAATGAAGAATTCTGTTTAGGGACCAGAAGTGTAGCTCAGTGGCAAAACATGTGCTCGGCATGTACAAGGCCCTGGGTTCAATCCCCAGGACCAAAAGCAAAGAACCATTAAGTTTTAATGTCACAGGCCTTTATTAAAAAGCATCTGCTCAGCAGATAATTTTCTTGCCTTTTTTCCTACCAGGAAGTGTACATGTTGTCCATTGAAAGTCTGGCAGAAGTCACTGCGCGCTGTATCGAGCAGCTTCACAAAGTGGCAGAATTAATTCTTCACGGACAAGAAGAGGAGAAACCAGCTCAGGACCAAGCAAAAGTGCTGATAAAGTAAGTGCAACTTTTAATTCTTATTTTTTCAAGTGTACATACATATCTGTGCCACTTGTATACACACACCCTGAACAACTAAAGGTTTGGGTTTCAACTCAACTAATTCCCTTGTTCTGTGGTCATCTAAGAAATGAGGATGCCCTTAAGAAATGCATTGTGTTAGCAAGAAGATGATGAACACTCTAGGAATTATTGATGAAGGGTTTTAAGGAAAGACACACTAAATCATTCAGAGCTATGAAAGTGTTTATTTTAATAGGCTGAAGTCTTAGAAGTACAGAGCTTTGGGAAAATTATATTTTCAACATACCATACAAATAGAGGAAGGACACTCTAATGTGACTTCTCAGCTAGTTTCACAAAAATAAAGAGACACACTTCACCTTTCCCAGGGACTCAGACCAGCTCCGCTTGTCCTGAGCTCTGGTGATGATGGACACTAATGTAACAAGCCAGTTCACTGTGGATTGTGCACTCGTGTGTGTTGTGTGTGTGTGTGTGTGTGTTCCTAGTTTTTGTTCTTCAATAAATAGTAACTATTATTAGTTTATTTGGTAAAATTAAAAAATATATATGTAATATAGCTACATATACATATATAGAGAGAAAGATAGATATGTATATACACATACACATGAAAATACTTGGGTACAGAGTATTCATGAAAATAGTTGGTATGGAGATGAAAAATAAATCATTAAGTGTTATGCACTTGACTATTATGATACAGAAAATTAGCATCTATCCAAATATTTTCTCATTATTATTAAGAACAGGAACAGAATAGGAGCCTTCTGAAAATATATGGGGGCACACACACATACATACATGTCCCAGTACTCTGATTCCCTTCGCCAGCTAACTGATCTTTGCTTACGGCTTACTGCATTTGACAGAGTAAGTTAGGGAGTCAGTTTTAATTGAAGGACTTTCCAAAAAGTCACTATTAGTGTCGTTGTCCTGATGCCATTTTTTCTCACTTGTAAGATTTGTCATCTAGTCTAGACTTTCATATCTAAGCATATAAAATCAAGGATGTTAGAAGAACCACATAATCCACCCCTGTAATATTCCTAAAAAGATTATGTACTTACTTCAACAATATAGAAAAAAGAGGAAAGGACAAAACAGTAAAAGATTCAACTATCAAGGCCAATATCTAGGTACTGTTTTATCTTTCTAGTGCTGATTTGAAAGAGGAGAGCTGAAGTTCACAAGCCCCTGCATGTGGATAGCGGGACCTTGCTCTTAGCTCCTTTCTGATTCCCATCCCTGATTGTCCCAACCCTTCTAAGCCTCTGACTTTTCCATACGATGACTGTTTCTACACCCCCCTGCCCAGGAACATAGAATGGGGATTATTCTTGATATTTTTTGCAGATAAGTTTTGAGCGGATGGATGGATGGAGGGATATAGCTCATCAAACCTGAATGCGTAGGTTACATGGGACTTCTGTTTGTCAGAAACACCTAATGACTTCACTAGGTCTTGTAACATATAAGATTCTTAACTTGGGGGTTGTTTTTCCCAATAGTATTTTAATCACTATTCACAAAAGTCATACACTAATTGTTAGGAGAAAATTAGACAGAACTTATATGATTAGGCAATTAGATTGTTTCCAGTTTTGTCATCTATAATGTCAGGATAAATGTGGTTTTCATTAAATATTTCTACCTTACTTCATTTTCTTAGGGTAGAAATAGAATGGCCAAAGGAAATTGGATATAAGTCTTTAAAACATTCTATAGGATTTTTATTTTGAGGCATCTGGTAAAAAGCATAATCAAAACATAGAGACACCTGAGTTTGAATCTCCCCCCTCTACTACCTACTACCATATGCCTAGATAGGTCATTCACTCTCATAACAGGCAGTTTCTTCATCTATATAAAATGGGAATAATGCTGTAATCTATGAGGACACTATGAGGGTTAAATATGATTAGGAATATAAGAACTTAACAGAGTGCCTCAGTGAATATTCATTATTTTTTTTTAAATGACCAAATAGCTGGAGAAAAGCCAGCTGGCAGAGTTTATGCCCCTATAGATGTGGAGCTCACGCTTGATATTTTCCTGCACAAGGTTTTGATTCTAAAAAGAGGTCAAAGGAACTAGATGATTATTCTTTAATTAAGCATGGAGAGAAAAACCAGAATTTGATTAAACTGTGATTATAAATCATGGAAGATTGTTGAGGAAAACTCAGCTGCCATTTCTGTTGAGCAACTTCAAACTTGAGTTCCATCCTTTTAGACATAACATGCATTCATATCAATAATTGTCATGACAATTAAATTTTTTCCTTTATTAAAAATCCTCAAACCTCTTTTTTCTTATTTCAGGTTAACTACAGCAATGTGCAATGAAGTGGCTTCCTTATCCAAGAAGTTTACGAAGTTTTTAACAACTGTTGGGGTGAGATTATAATATTTATCATTTTTTTTTTCAAAAAATTTACTTTTTTAAGGGAAGTAGGTCTGAAAGAAAGAGTGGGATATGCAGCACCTTTTCATTATTATTGTTGTTCTTCTTAGATATACATGACAGTAGAGCATATTTTGACACATTTTTATAAATATATATATATATAATAAGTATAACTTGTTCCAGCTAGGATCCCATTCTTGTGGTTGTACATGATGTGGAGTTACACTGGCTGTGTATTCATATATGAACATGGGAAAGTTGTGTCCAATTCATTCTACTGTCGTTCCTCTTCCCATCCCTCTTTCTTCCCTTCATTCCCCTTTGTCTGTTCCAATGAACTTCTATTCTTCCCCTCCCTTATTGTGGATTAGTGTCCACATATCAGAAAGAACATTTAGCCTTTGTTTTGGGGGGGACTGGCTTGTTTTGCTTAGCATGATATTCACCAGTTCCATCCATTTACCAGAAAATGCCATAATTTCATTCTTCTTTATGGCTGAGTAATATTCCATTGTGTGCAATACCTTTTTGGGGACCTCCACAGACAGAAGCCATGCCAGGATGTTTGCTAAAATTAGGCCAAGAGCACCTTGTCTAACATTAGGCAGCCTTGCGCTCTCCTCCCACTAGGTTCTAGTTCCATGTCTCAGACATCTGAGATGTTGAGTGAGTTTTCAGATCTCTGTGGGCCTGGTTTTCATAATTTGTTAATAAATAAATAGTGTCAGGGGCAAGAGGTATAGCTTAGTGTTAGAGCATTTTCCCTGGGTTCAGTCCCCAGCACTGTGAAATAAATAAAGTGTCAAATGAAAATCCCTTTCATCACCTAATATCTGTAATATATTAAAATAATTAATCTTGGGTTTTCTTATTCACTGTACCCTCAGTCTATTTTATAAGCTACACAGTTTATTTTGGAAGTATTGTCACACTTCAGCTTTAACCAAAAAAACATTAACAACAGGGTTTAAATCCTGTTTTAGTAATGGTGTTTTTTTTGTTCCAAGTATGTTAGTTTTCCAGGACTACTATAACAACATGCCACAAACTGGGTAGCATAAAACCTGAAATTTACTCTCACAGATCTGGACACTAGAAGTCTGAAACCTGGGTGTCAGCAGGGCCATGCTTTCTCTGAAGACTCTAGGGAGTATCCTTCTCAGCTTCTTCCAGCTTCTGGGAGCCCAAAGCTTTCCTTGGTTCGTGACTAAAATCCTCCAGTATCTCTGTCTTCCTATGATCATTTTCTCCTTGTGGGTCGTCACATTGTTTTGCTCCATGCATCTCTGTGTCCAGATTTTCCTCTTCTTGTAAGGACACCATTCATGTTGGATTAGAGTGTGATCAATATGGCTGCAACAACCCTTTCTCCAATAAGATCATAGTCTGAGGTCCTTGGGCTTAGAACTTCAATGTGTATTTCCTTTTCGGGAGGGAACATTTCAACCCAAAACAAGAAGCAACAGAAGCAAATTCTAAATGTTTTAGATTAAAATGGGGCTTTATGAAAGGTAGTGGAAAACCTCCAGAGCTCATACCCGTGCTCTGAAAGTGCTGCTATTAATGTGACTCAACAACAGTACTTCCCAGTCCCTGTGTTCTCTCCATTCAGATTCCTATTTCCTGGTTGAGAAGGTTTCTGAGGCTGATCAGCATGGGTCAAAGGTCCACCTTGATATCACTCAGCAGTGACTAGGGATAGGGTCATATCATGAAGACCCACCTGGCTATGGAGTGTACCCCTTTCCCCTTATGGGAAGTACTAAGAGCAATTCTTTGAAGAAGCCAAAAATAATTGTGGACCCTATACTTCTATAGGTGACTCAGGCAAAAGGGTGAGCTACACACTGCCTATTCATTCTGCTTTCAAGGAACCTGGTTTGACCCTCCTCTTTTGCAAAATAGCAGCTTTTACATTTGTCTAATTTTAGACCTTCAGCCATAGACCTTCACTGTTTGCAAGCAGTGAGGGGGCAGATGGAAGTTTACAGAGAGAATGCATTAGTGTGCTCGGTGTCGTCTAAGTTACCCAGTGCCCACAGACTTCAGTGGAAATGCTAGGTTTACAAAGGGGTGTGAGGGCTTAATCAGGAATGGGATAGACTTGGCAATTCAGGTTCCCAGGGCTCTCCTGTTCTCTACCCTTGCTCCTTCACACAGTTCACAAGACAAGGAAACCAAGCCCAGAGGGGTGATCCACAGGTCACCCAGGCCTCTCAGTAGATCTCTCAATCAGCTGCCCATCAGATGCACCAGACAGAGAGCCAATTGTTTGGTGTTCTATGATCATCTAGGGGAGTGTGTATATGTTTATATATGTTTATATGCCTTATGTTAATTTATCTACATTAGTGAAATTTTTTCATAGTATTGTTTTCCCTTCCCTTTCACATATTATATTCCAGCACTGTGTTTCTCAAACCTTAATGGGCACACAAATCACCTGGAGACCTTGTTAAAATGCACATTCTGATTCAATACACCTGGAATGAACACTGAGCGGCTTCATTGCTAATAAGCTCTCAGATGATTAGAATGTTCCTGACCCCCAGTCCACATTTTATGTAGCAAGGCTCTAGCAGATGGTGTGTACTTGAACTTGTATAAGTGTGCATATGTATGGATGTGTACACACGTTTGCATGCACAAAACCAGGACCACACACAGTATCATTTCGGAGAAAGAAAAACCTGAATCTAAAATAGAATTTCCTGAAATGCCATCTCACCACAATAATGCCCCTAATCTTGTGCTATGATGAATCATTTGCATCAAGTCATTGTTTCTGTTCTCTAAAACAGCCATTATTCATAACTTGAAGATAATGAGTATATATCGCTCTCCAGACTCTATTTAAATTGCCTGCACATCTCATTGATTCTGAAAACCAATGTCATTTTATTGCCCTCATTTTGATTATATTTTAGAGGTTTATTGATAATCAAATAAACATGAAAGCAAATACCATAATAGATTATCTGGTTACTTACTAAAATGACTGGGTTTTTAAAGAGTTTTTTCCCAAGACTCCATTACGGTTTCCTCTGTAGGGCATTACTTTACCTTCAATAACGTCAATGAAAGTGGTCTGCTCTGGGAAGAGATATTTAATTTATATGCTTTTGTTTGCCACAAACTCTTGCATTACAGTAAGGGAAACCGACATATTAAGTGTATTCTCTCTCTCTCTCCAGTTCCTTTAATAATTTATCATCTGAAAGTAGGTTGAACATTTTATTTTTTAAAATTCTTTTTGTGGTTGTAGATGGACAGAATGCCTTTTTTTTAATTTATTTATGTGGTGCTGAGGATCGAACCCAATGCCTCACGCATGCTAGATAAGTGCTCTGCTACTGAGCTACAGCCCCAGCCCCAGCATTTTAGATAGTGGAGACTTGTTTGATAGAACAATCACATAACTAAGGGTAAGGCTACTTAACACTCACTCTCACTTTTTGAACACCTGCTTTTAACTAGGCTTTGCAGCCCATACTTTACATATTATTCATGTTTTTCAAACTCAGATCTGCAGACCTGTTTGAAAAATATATTTAAGGATGCTATAATTTTGCTGCTCTTCTGGAAGATGCACTATAGCCAAGTACTTCTGTTTGCATCTAAAAGATGCAAAGGATTGGGAGGAGAGACTAGAATAGGGCTGAGACTAGGAGAGGTAAATGAAGGACTTAACCCTCCTGCAAAATTTGAGAGTGTCCAGGAGAAAAATTAGGGGGAAAAAAAAAGTAAGCTATATAGATATTTAATGCAGTATTTTTACAATAAAAAGTACAAAAATGATGAACAAATTATCAAAATTTAAATATAGTATCCAACTATGTACTTGTTCAGTTCATCTCACCAAACTCCCAGACCTACTATAAGTAGTTTCAATAGTTAAAAAGGTCTGAGTTTACATTTCTAGCTATGTGGCCTTACACTAATTACTCAACCTTCCTGATTCCCATTCCTCATGTTGAAATTGGGATTATTACAGTACTTACCTACCTCCTAGGAGTTTAAGTGAGAAATTAAATGTCAGAATTAAATGAGATGGTGTAGGGGAAGCACCAAATACGAAGCCTGGCCTACACAGTCAGCATTCCACGCCTCCCCTTCAACAGAGCTAGTGTCTTACATTTTATTTTACATGGCAAGCCTTGCAGCCCAAGCCCCTAATCTGTCAATTTCATACTTTTGATCCCACAGAGCAAGAAGAAGGCTGAGGTTCTTAACCCCATGATCAATAGCGTGTTGTTAGAGGTAAGTAGCCACAGGAGAGAGGGAGCTTCTGATCAAAGCCAAGGTGGAAGCTATAGTTTTTTTCCTTCTTTGTCTTTCTCCCAGGCACCACATTGTATTGCAATTCAAAATCTTATCACCAACAGTCTCTTTTGAGTACGTTTGTGTAGCTCAACCAGCTGTAAATCCTCTGGTGAAGCAACAATACCCAATTTTCAAGAATCCCTGATTATAAAAAGAAATGCTAAGCTTGCGTGTTATTTCCATCTCTGTTTCCTCTGGCAGAGGCAGATTTCTGCTGTCAAGTTTGACACTAGATTTAACAATATGATTATTGGCTACGATGAGGGCTCCTTGCTCCGTGGTGATTTTTGTTAAAATGAGCACTTCCCTCCATTCACAGTAACCTTTGGCTTAACTGGGCCTGAGCTCCAGGCTGGTTAAAAAGAAATGACAAGGAGGCTATTTCCCCTCTGTGCAGTGACCAGGCCACCATCCCCTATCTGCCTGCTCACCAGGGGCTGTACTGACACAGAGCTGTCCCAACACTGCTCTGGCTTTACCAAAAACAGTGATGTGTGGAGGAGGAAAAAGGCTCAGGAAGCCACCTCGGTGGTGGAGTACGGGCTCTGTGCTCTACCTGTGGAGGGTGGAGGAAATCTTCCATTAGGGGCCAGACTGTAAGAAACGGGCCCATCTCTGGCCACAGGGCACCCACCTGAAGCCACAAGATGTTCGCAGCCCAAGGCTGAACACCAGCAAGGCATATACAGTGGTGTTTTCCTTTCTGAAGTTGGCATCAATGGCAGACTTTGGAAATTACAAAACTTGGGAAGGACTACCTAAATATTTATAGTAGCATTGTGAGGACTTGTGTCCTCAAAAAACAGCCCAGGCACAAAAATAACAAGTGGGGGCGCTGAGTGCTAGTGTTTAGGACACAGCCACACAGTGGAATAAAGTCAACTGGAAGGAACGGGGGCTGTAGGGATGTCCAGCAGGCAGACGCAGCGAAGAGTAAGCACTGGCAGCGAGAAGCAGAATATTGGACAGGAAACTCCCTCCCTGGTTGCCAGAGAGCATTAGATTAATTGTTCACAAGATTGAGGTCCCATGTTTACTCATCCCCCCGTATAGAAGTCTTCATATGTATTAGTTACACTAAATTTATCTATTTATTTTATTTATTTATTTTTTTAGTGGGGCTGGGATCAAACCCAGGGCCTCACACATACTAGACCAACACTAGCACTGGGCTATATACTCCAGCCCCACCCTAAACTTTAAATGGCCTCTCTGTTTAATACTGTTTGGTAGCCTACCACAGTGCATAAACGGCATGCTACTAGAGTATTAAACAGAGAAGCCATTTAAAGTTTATACCATAAAGTTTAAAGGCCATATCAGATATCCAAACCAAGCAGAAAACACCAACACTCATGGGTGGATGACACTGTTCAAGGATTTGCCATGAATAATTCTACCATGATATTTTCCAGTTAGCTTAATGCAGACCATTTGGTTTATCCAGCTATGGGTTAACACAGGACCTCCTTCATACTGTGCCTTCATGAGATTTCAGAGCAGTAAGCTGACCTGGGAAATCGGTGGATTTCACTGATATATGTTCACTGATATATGTACACCGATGTGCTTTAAAAGCCCCTGTGGCTTTTAAGCAATTCACCTCATTTTGAGTGAATTCTTCTCTGTAAGTATAAACAAGAGCAAAAATACTCCGTCTAGAAGAATGTGTTTACATTTGCTGTAAGCACCAACATTATAAACATTTCATAATGTTCTTCTCAAACGGAAAGGAACATCATCCAATTGGGAGGATTGTCAAGGTCAAGGCTGACAGCAAGAGTAACCTTGGGCTGTGTTCTTTCCCTCTCAGGGCTGCAACAGCACAACCTACATTCAGGATGCCTTCCAGCTGCTGCTGCCTGTCCTGCAGGTGTCACATATCCAGACCAATTGCCAGACTCCAGCCAGTTAAAGGAAAGGGCAGGTCCCACGGCTTCATTGAGCACCATGCAAGGGGATGTTTTCAACACAACCGGCCACACACACCCATTTTTGAGGACACTACAAAGCAATTTTGCACAGACAGTATTGAGAATGCAAGTTTAAAGAGAGTTGTCATTTCTCTTAATGTAGAGGGTCGTTTTTACAAATAATTGTGTTTTCTTTATGTTAATTTAAAGTTTCACAGCTCATAATGAAGTTTTCCCTTATGAAATTCATTCACGAGTATTCATTCATGTCCATCCTCCTAGTCAAGCATGCTGAATTTAGTTAGAAATTCAGAAGCAGACCCTGGCTTTCTTTTAATCGTTCAAATTTCTACCTTTAAATGTCACATTCTTATAAGCATTACTTTAAATCAATTCTTGTACTGAACTTTGTCTTATTCCATAAATGTCATGGGCAAAAATAACACTACTTACAGATTTTACCCAGTATGACAAAAAAGAAACCTAAATATCTCTTTATCACCATTCATTCTTGCAACAATCATTTATTGAGCACATACTGTGTTCAGAATAAAAGAACATTAACTCACCACCATAGAGACAAATATTTCAGATAGAGGGTTTACAATAATTCTTAAAATACTTGAAAACACTAAAACTTTTTCTAATCCTCAAAACATTTGAAGAACAAGGTAAATTTATAGTGTTTTCAATAGTCTGTCAGTTTATCTTCCTACCTTCCTTAAACTTATTTTTATCCCAACTTTATATATGGGGTGAAAATATGTATGAAAAGGAGTATTAAAGAATAGTTTAACTGTGTGTGTGTGTGTGTGTGTGTGTGTGTGTGTGTGTGTGTGTGAGAGAGAGAGAGAGAGAGAAGGGAGACCCTAGGGATTGAACCCAGGGGTACTCTACCACTGATCTACTGCCCCAGCCCTTTTTATTTGAGACCAAGTTAAAGTTGCCCAGGCTAGCCTCAAACTTGTGATCCTCCTGCCTCAGCTTCCCAAGTAGCGGGGATTACAGGTGAGCACTACCACACCTGGCAAGAGTGCTTCAAAATTGACTTCATATAATCATAAGCCCCTGGTGGCATAATTGCAAAGCTTACAAGTGTTCAAATAGAAAAATGAAAGGGGTTTTAACACAGTAGAATCCCATCACTGCATTTTAAAAATCTACCATACTGATCACACTCACCAGTGGCAAAGGACAGAGAAAGCCCATATGTGGGTCGATTGCTCTATTGATCCCTGGGGGACTTCACTGAAGACCTTGCAGCTAGGAGGAGCATCAACAATGGGCACTTCTCCTGAGCATCTCGAATGCGTTGCAGGGGGGGATTCTGTGTGATGCACCTATTTCAGAACCCCAATGACACTCCTACCAGCAGTGGCAAAAGAAGGTCCTGCCCGGTGGCTCTCTCCAAGGCAAATGAAACTTGTGGCTTTGCAAGGGTTAAAAATTCCTTATTCATGTTTATTTTTATTCCCCAGATAGTCAACTGCCTTTGTTCCCAACAGATCAAACAGAGATTTTTTAATGTCATCCTACTTCTCATTAGCATTTCATTTGTCTCTGTCCTGTATTTCGTTTGTATATCTCCTGAAACAGCCAAATAGAAAACATAATTTGCAACCTTGAAAAATAAAATTCTCTGAGGAATCAATTAAAGAAATTTTTTGTCCTTTTCTGATTGCCTGAAATGTTTCTGTGATTTTTAAGTCTGGAGGTGATTAACGGATGAAAATGTTACATTCACCTCTTCATAAATTCAGAATTTTCATGTATACAACAGAGGAAATAATTTTGATTTATAATTTTTCACAACAGATTATTTTTAGCATCAGATGGATTTAGACAATAACTGGAAATATAAAAGAGAAACAAATATTTCCAAAGGAATTAGATTCCCAGACTTAGACTTCAAGCTTAATTGCACCCATTTAGTGCACAAAAAATAAATAAATAAATAAAAATAGAGTAGAAACTTTAAAAAGAAAAAGCAGGATAATTATTAAAAAGAAGTGGTTGGCGTTACTGACATTGCATTTATGTTTTAATGGTATTGTGTAAGAGGTTGCCAGGTGGAGAGAGGGTTCTGTGATCCATGGTCTATGAATTACATTAAGAGAAAATAATCGCTTAACATATATCTGTCCTCCAGGATTTCTCTCTTTCAGTGCTAGCTTTCAACATCACTTTTAAATAATTGCTTCTTTGCTTTGCTTTAAAAGCTGCCAAAGCACAGGATCCAGATCTGGGCAAATGTTAGTCAGTCACTGAATGAATGATTTAGCAGCTTACCTTGGAAGTTTTGTATTCCTTCAATAATCCTTCACATAAATTGGATTCATTGCACTCTACGCAATTACTATCAACAGCATGCCAGATTCTTCTCTTACATCAAGTGCAAAATAAGGTCTAAATAATGAATGTAGTCCTGGGCTTGTGCTTTATTAAATAAAAAAAGCATGCAAAGCATATTTCAAATTCAAAGTAAAATGCATTTCAGAAAAATTTGCTTTGGGATATTGATATGTACAGATCTAAAGGACAAAATTGAGTCCCAAATCTTAAGGCATGGGTCTAAACTTAAATATTCTATCTCTCTGTTAGAAATACCGAGGTGCTACAAAAAAAGTCAAATATGGAGGTGCTCAGAAGTGGGTGGGCAAGGCAAAACTACTTCTGCAGTGTGGTGTGCTCCAGAACCTGGCTAGCCAGGGCACTTAGGCTGGGGGCAGGTGAGAGGCGGGGTCCACCTGCTTATATACTTAACCTGTCCCAGCGTTGCCCTTCACTTTGATTGAAGGAGTTTGGGGTTACAATCTATGTGATTGGCTAATTTTAAAATTGGGGCGGGCAAAGGGAGGGCCTATAATTATAATGGCTACAATTGGATCCAATAAAGCCTGAATACTGTCTTCTGAAAATGGAGCGCTGGACTTTCTGTTTCTCACACCTCTGAGAACAGAAGTCCCTATTCCCTGTGGATCTCCTCTGCGTGCACAGGAAGCTCACAGTTAAATGAGTAGTGTGACTGTGCAGGCCATGGCGGGAGTGAGCAGGGTTGTGTCCACAGCCTCAGCGACACCCACTAGAAAACCAGGGACAGGATACCTGGGGACACCACAGCCGCAGAGCTCACATGAATGGAGAAGGACCAACAAAGGGTGGAGGGGCTGAAGAAACATGCAGAATCCAGGGCAGAAGCCCGAATGCAGGAGTGGGAGTGTTTCCTTGTGCTTTGTAAAAATCAGCACCCCGAGGGGCTGGTATATGTGGAAAGTCACATTCTCCACGGCTGGCCATGCTACGCTTAGGAAAGAAATAAAGGCAGGCAGATCCCAGGCATAGTCATCCCAGAGGTCTGATTATAACATCTCAGGGAAGCAATTTACAAAGCGAAATAAGCACTGTATCTCTTCTTTCCTAAAAAAAAAATGTATGGTGTGTGTGTGTGTGCATGCACTGAACAGATGGGGTTGATCATAATACATAACTTCAAATGATGTTTAATTTTATAAAAGCAATTATTCTACAGGGTCAAGCTAGTTTTTTATATAATGTAAAAAAAATGGCCTTTGATCTTCCCCTTAAGCATGTTCAACATACTAATGTACAGATCCAGGCTTGGACTCGGTTTCTTAAATTACCATGTTTGTAAAGGCACATCAGAAGAGATCATACTGAAAATCCATCTTAGAACTGCTATTTTGCTCTGCTTTTGTAGTTGATTAGAATTCATAATGCTATAGGAGTGGATTCAGACCAGCGAGCCATTCTTCACATAAAAGAAAACAAATGATGTGGTTAGTCCTGTGTTCTATATTTCTAGAGAGCTCACCCCTTAGGCAGGGTTATGGCCATCATGGGTATGCTTGCTCATACAAAATCGTTCACTAGAATATCAGCTATTAAACAGATTCAAGGAAAGACATCAGTCTCTTCATTTTTTCCCCTTAGACCCACAAAATGAACTAGTCTACCCTTTAAGCATTCTACCTTTAGCAATGATTGAATTATTACAACCCCAACAGTAATAGTGATATTTCTGCTATTTCTGATATCTAGGATTATCATCAACTGGAAATAGAAGCTGATTTTGGAAGGCTAGAATTTTGTGTTGGGATTTAAACTAAATTTACCTTCATCTGGATCAGAGAAGATTTTTCTCCGCATGAGCTGCCAGCCAAAAAGCAATAGGATTATGTCTGCCTGTGGTCACTGCAACTCACCTGACAGCCTGCTTCCTCTATTAGTCTCAGAAGAATTCTGTGCTGCAAAAGAAAAAATATGCGTATTTCTTAAATGCCTTCACTCAGGGCAGAAATTTGGGGAAATTAAAATGATCTATCTCCCTGGCCTGGGTTTCACCACCAGGCTTCTCAGATGCTATTTGGAAGAAAAAGTCAGTGTAGAAGCCAAGGCCAGATGGGTGAACCCTTGGCAAAAAGCAAAACTAAGCTTTTGGCTTTGAGTCCTTTCTCTCTCTCTCTCTCTCTCTCTCTCTCTCTCTCTCTCTTTTTAATAGTCAGTACCTGGCTTCCAGAATCAGCTTTTATAACCTGCCCCTCTCTTTCCTATCTCTTGTTCCCCTTCTCTTTGGCTACATCATTTATACTCTCCCTACCTCATGTGTGTGTGTGTGTGTGTGTGTGTATACACACATACATACATACACTCACATATATATGTGTGTGTGTGTGTTCTCCCATACTAAATGGTTATATATATCATATAATTAAGCTATACTTTGTACTGAAGATTGTGTCCTATGTTTTATATGCATTATTCCATTTAATCTTCAAAGTCACCCTGTTGGGACACGATTATAATCTCTACCACACCAGTGAGAACACTGAGACCCTTAGAAGCTATGTAACTGGTCTGAAGTTATAACTAGTGCAACAGAGCCACCATCAAACGCAGATCAGTTTGACCCGACTAGCTAGCATTTTGAACTGCTGTACAGAGTATCTCAACAGAAGAGAAATGTTACATGTTATTTTTAGAGACATCTGAACACTAGATTTATCTGTTTCGCTCTCTGGAAGCTGTGAGTTAGATTTGTAGCTGAAAGCTTTGGTTGTCAGCTTTGGTTGTTTCCATGCAACTGAGAGCAACTAGGACTAAAGAGACACAGAAGGAAGCCACGTGAGGTGATTTGTCCCCTGGGTGGTTCTCGCCACGGGCTTCTTGATCATTTCACAGACATTTACATCAAGCAGCTTCTTGGTCAGGGCAGCGCAGCATCCTGTCTCACAGGTGCCTTTGATTGCACTATAAGGACCCCATTTCCTCCTCCCCCTTTCCCTTCTCTGGTGCCAGGGAAGCCCATTTGCAAATCAACACCATTCCTGAAAATCCTGACCCCTCTGATTCCTGGAGCACGGGGTTTTTTAAATGCTTTTCCTGCCTTGAAGATTACAGATCTATCTAGACAGCCTTTAAGCTGAATCTCCAATGCCAAGTTCTGCAAAATGCTGATAAATGTTTTAAAGAAGTACTGAATAATGCCTTCTCATCCCTGATCGTGGTACTGCTTCCTATTGAGCCCCAGAAATGACAGTGGTGATGGTGATGATGGTTGTAGAGAAGACCCACAGAACTGAAGCAACCACAGGGTCCAAAGCAACCGGTTCTTGCAGTCCTGCAGGAAGGATTTCCAAGGAGTGGCTCAGAGCAACAGACAGGAGTTTATTAGAGAAAGTGAGATAAGGACGCACAGTCTAGGCACTGGGGGGACCATCTCCAGAGAGAATGGTGTAACTAAGAGTCTGAGATTTGGGTCTCTTTGTTCTTAAAGCCTCAGTTTCTCACACCCTTAAGTGGCTTATTACTACCCTTTCTAGAGCCCCCTCAGCAAGTTTCTTCATCAGAGGAGGGAGTGACATGGTCTCAGTAATGACCTGGTCACAATGGGAGGATCATAATGACCTGGTAATAAGAGATAAGGTGTGTGTGTGTGTGTGTGTGTGTGTGTGTGTGTCCTTAGTTTCATTTTTGCAGTACTGAGGATGGAACCCAGGGCCTCACACATTCTAGGGAAGCACTCTACTCAGCCACATCCCCAGCCTGACAGATAAGGCCCTGAAACAATAGTTCCCCAAGGGGTTATAATTAACTATGGCTGTTGGAGGTTTGACAATCAGTTCCCTTTTCCTGATGCCTGTCTTCTTTCATAAAGTTTTCTGTTATTCCCACCCTGTGACTTATGGATTCTCTTTGTGACTTATGGATTCTCTCTGACCTCCCTATAAGTTTCTGCCCTTCATTGTCTTCCTCCACTCACATGCTCATGACTAAACTATCTACTATCAATTATGATGGTGGTGGTAGTGGCCTGGTGGTGGTGGCGGGGGTGATGATGGTGATGGTGGTGATAGTGATTGTGGTGGCAATGGTGATTGTGGTGGTGATGGTGATGGTGATGTCATGGTGGTGGTGATGGTGGTGATGGTGATGGTGATGGTGATGGTAATGGTGGTAATGGTGGTGAGGTGGTGATGGTGGTGATGGTGGTGGTTGTTCCCTATTTATTAATTGAGTACTTACTGTGTTTCAGACACCTAGTACAAGCATGTTACCTCTCTGTGAAGTAGAAGAAATAAAAATATTGAAGACCAAAAAAAGAATAATAAAATATAATTTTAATCTACAGTTCCACATACTTTCTTCCCAGGTCTA